AGCTTCCAATCACTTATTCCATTATTTAAGGCATAAAATGCGGGTCACAATTTTGTTACAGCAAAGCAAACAATAAGCATCAAATTTCCAGTAAGGCCAACTAACAAACAAAATTTTTTCACATCAGTTGTATGTTATAAAACAATTTTAAAGGAGGGTAACCAAAAAACAGAGAGATACTGAAATCATAGAATGAGCATAAACATCAAGTAAATCTAGAACATCAAAATCCAGCGATGAGACATTAATGGAAGAAGTTTCATGCAAACAGCATCTCAAATTTGAAGGTTTTACATATGTTAAACCAGTAAACCGCTTAATTGCTCATTTAACTTTTTACATAATAGATCTAAATTTTTTAATCAATCGACAGATGATACTTTGTAATAACAGGGAGCAATATTTGATTGATTTGCAGTATTGTACATATAGTATCATGTAAAGTTACTTTAATGGTATTTTAGAAGCTCATTACGTGTCAAGAGCAACCAATGAACTTTACAGATTGTCACATTTCTGAAAAAAGGCACTATAATATTATTTTTGAAGTTTCTAGTGACTACTTTGGCAGAGTTAAATACTAAATGTTATTATCTTTATTTTAGCCATTTTTTATTTCGTGGTTCCAACTTGCATATCATAAGTAATTTGGACACATAAACTGAACAAAGAAAATTATACTCTATCAGGGGAATGGGAAAAAGGCACATTAACTATTCATTCCAAAAACAATGAATACATTTAGAATATACATGAATATGTACATTAAAGCAAAGGTTCAAGTATATTTATTTACTGCATTTTTATAATTGTGATACAACTCTTCCATCAATGCTGCAAGATTTGAAGACAACCTTCCTGCTTCAGCTTCCTTGCTAATTCCAGATAAGAGCTCTGCAGAGAAAAGATTAATATAGACTACTGCAATAAAAATTAAATAAAAATATTTCTCACAGCAACATAGCATGTTGTTCCATTTATCTTATGGAGTTCTTAAGTCTCTCTTCCATTGTCTAGCTATTGTGTTTCTTAAATCAATTATATGTTCAACATTAACTCTTAAAATGACTGAAAATCATACTTCCAAAGAAGATGGCCCTGAATCCTTATCTACCAAATTCTTTTTGGGAAAAAGGCTAATCAGCTTATATGATCATAACATTTATGATATTACTGCTCTTAGGTTACTAATGATTATATGAACCAGCAAGGTAGCAACTTAGCACAATAGATTACAAGCACACTGTTCTATGTTTCACTAAAACAAAATTGAAAAGAGATGCACATATAGTAGTACTGAACAGATATTCCAGAAAGCTTTGAGATAGAATTCATCTTAAAAAGCAGGCAAAAAATTGAAACTAACAAACAGCAGAACCCAATGGGTAAACAACCTTCTAATGCATCCAAATTTACTTTGACTAACCCAATTTCTGAATTTGGTGAGTCCATAATTATTGTTGATCTGGTAAGTTATTTATCACAACAGGTCATAAACGAGGGCCAGGCTAAAACTAAAACATACATCAAATCTACAATTCCACACATGACAACTAGTCAAAAGTTCCAAGTTCTATACCCGAATAATGGATGCTGGGCATTTAAGATGCAGTTCCTGACTCACTAAACGTGTCCTGCACTCTTTTTTTCTCATAAATAGAAATTCTAGATCATAACCGAATTCAGATTCCAAAAAAAAAAAAAAAGCCTTGGTCAATTAACTATTGAGCAAAAACCTGATTATAGTGTTAATAAAACGGTCATACACCCAGAAGTCAATTTACATTATAGATACATCTTCCATACATCATGCCTAGTAAAAAACTTTAATGTGTAATATTTGAGAAAAATTGCATTTTCAGCAACAAAAGAACAAAAAGTTACATATTCTTGAAGCTCGATAAGATCTAAATCCCTCATTTGGACTAAACCAGGAAAATTCTAGCCTTGTGGATTTATCGTTTCATTACATTTACTCAACACCGTGTAACTTATAAAGAAACATATACCACGTTAGTCTTCGCTCACAATTCTTTCTTATTCACCAATCATGTAAATGAAACATCACGAAAAGCAAAAAGAAACATATACCGCATTAGACTTCTTTCTTATTCAGCAATCAAGTAATCATGCAGATAAAACATCAAGAGAAGCAAGAAGAAGCATATGTTGCATTAGAAACATCAAGAGAAGCAAGAAGAAAAATATATTGCTTTAGTCTTCGACCGGACTCTTTCCTATTCAGCAAATCATGCATGTAAAACATCAAGACAAGCAAGAAGAAACGTATATTGTGCTACTCTTTATTCAAAATTCTTTCCTATTCAACAATCACGTACATGAAACAACCAAAAGAAGCAAGAACAACAGAAACGAACCTTGTTCAGTACGAACATCAAGAAAAGTACGCGAGTGGTTGACCTCGCTGATAGAGGAAGACTTCTTGTCCTCGTCTTGAGCGGAACTGGTGGCGACAATAGTCTTCTGAGCGGACTCCACATCCTGAAGCATCTTAGACATTGCTTGGACCTTGAAAGAAGCGAACCTGCGCGCGCCGGATCGAAACGACAGCGAAGAAGGAGGCGAGAGGTTGAGGTTGAGAGAAGAAGAGAAAGAAGACGATAACGGAACGGAGGAAACCCTAGGCGAAGCGATTAAGAATGTGAGAGACAAAGAAGACATAGTCCGTCCTCAAGGGAGAAAGAGGATTGAGAAACTGAGGGAGAGAGCCACTGACTTCACTCTTTCTATTTATCCAAAACAGGGAACAAACAAAATGGGATTTCTTCCAGTGGAGGCAAGGCAAATTGATAAAATACTTTAGCTACAATTGCCCTGCTCTATTTATAGATCACCCACCGTTAAAGATTTCAAAAAGATTTGTGATCAAATCTGAACCGTTGATTATTATTTTTATAAAGATTCTAAAATAACTAGGGTCTGTGTTTATTTCTAGAAAGGAAGATAAGGAATTTATCTTCATATTGAAAATTATAAAACTGAGACGTGGCAAGATTTTATTGGGAGGAGCATGAATAGAAAAATATGCTTATCACAGTGGATACTTTCTCCTTTGGGATTTACGTCGACGAATAAGCATATGCCGAGTGTTGAGGGAGAATATGGGAACACGTGTCAAGATGGAATATGTACTTACATAGTGGTGAAAGTTTCTGCGGATTGGCTATGGTCCGATGGATGATACTTTTGGGAAACTGAGGACCACGCATTGTTTTTATAATTTTTTTTTTTGAGTTTTTGTTGTAATTAAAGTTTAATTTATGGAGGAGTCAATGTCATGTAAAATTCTTCTACTTAAATTGAAATCAACATTCGGCTAAGAATAAAAGTGCCGTAACTTTTTCCTGATTATTTTTTTTTATCATCAGAATGTCAGTATCATCTCTATTATCGGTTATATAAGAGTTTCGATAACCAACCTTATTAAGAATCGAGTTTCTGCTAATAATAAAAATGTCATCACTTTTTTGTTTTAGTTTTCTCATCACTTTAGTCTTCTTGTCACTTGTTTAATGTCTACATTAATTGAAATCTTATTCAAAGTCCATAAAAATTGATTGACTCGTGGTAGTCTTCTACATAATTAATTGTAATACTTAAGTATGCAAGGTTAATCATAGATTTTATTGAAATAAAGGGCCATGGTTAGCAAAGATAACGTAGGAAGACTGAAAGTGATGTCAAATCAAATGTTTTTAAAGGGCGTTTGGTTTGAGGTTATATGAGATTACTGGGATTAAGTCTTCTTGTATTACTTGATTACCATGTTTGGTTATCAAGTAATATAAGATACCGGTAATCTTCAAATACTAATAATGATTACTATTTGTAATATTTGAGATAATCTAATTACCTCCAATTTCTTAGATATTCTAAGATTACCAGAGTTATATTTTTTTGTTACAATTATATCCCTTATTAATAAAATTTTAGGACAATAATACCTTTATTTTTTAATTTATTTACATGAATATAACTTTTACTATTTCACCCAAATTAATTAACTTTTTGGACAAAATTACCCTCGAATTCAAAACAAATTGCAGCCCACCCAAGCCGTCGCCAACCCCACCCACCTGCTGCCGACAACTACCGTCGCGGCCACCAGAACAGCGCACGAAAGATCGAAAAGTGTCGTCGTGCGCCGATATGGCCATTTTCGACCAGATCTTTAGTCAGAAATAGTCATACGGCGCACAGAGGCCATTTCCTGCCTTCCGTGCGTCGTTAGGTTACCAGCTGCCAGCGGCCGACAGTGATTGGGTTGGTGGGAGTGTTTTGTTGATTTTTCAAACTTTTATTATAGGGTTGTTTTTGCTAAGTTTTTAAATACAAAGGGTTTATATAATAGTATTAAAAAATAATATAATAATAATATTTAATTAATATACAATTCAGTAATTTAAATAACATACCTACCAATTTATTCCTCCCAACCAAACATATTAATATAACATACCCACTAATTAACTAAACACATTTTCCTAAAGATTCTCAGTAATCTTCAAGCTAATCTAACTTTTTAATAATTCAACATTCCCTAAACCAAACACTCTTTTAGGGTGATGTTACCATCTCAGCTATTAGTGTTAATATCAATTAATTAAAAAATTTAATATCAGATTATTAAATTACTTAATTATATTATAGTACGGAGGCAACATCATTCCAATGTACTGATCTTTAGATCAAAGAATCATTATGGGATAATGTTCATCAATACTAAAAATCTTAGTAACTAATTAAGCAATTTACTACCAAATTTTGCACACTGGTTTGGTCAAGACTCAAGAATACCAAACTGAAATAATTCAATTATGGGGGGTTTTGTTTGATTATTCATTCGACCCCTAGAATGAAATGATCACCAAACCAGCCCTTCTGATTTTAGAAGGCCAAATCAAAAACCATTTGATCCCGTCCAGGGGAGTCTGTGTTGGTTTATATGTTCAAAAGGAACATAAATTATTCTCAAGAAAGAAAAAAAATAAGCCCTTTATATATTCCTTTGACATTTGAAGCTTGCAAAACTTGTTTAGGTAATTGTTAAATTTAACATATGCAGCAGGGCAAAGTTACCGCAACAGTAGAAAATAAACCACCAATCCAAACTATTGTTTCCATAATTCATTGATAGAAGTTGTGTCCTAAGAAAATTTCTTCTCAGCAATGTCATTAATTACTTTTACCAGTAATACTCGCAGTCATAAACTAAGTAAATAACATTCTATAAGTCCATAGTGCTAGGAGACTTATCCAAGGAAATTCATGATCACCAAATGCAGCACCAAATTGCAGAGAACAAAGTCTGCGAATGCTCGCTCTGGTGCTAAATCCTGCAATTCCAATCAGAGAGTATCAACCAATGTGAAATGAATATTATCAAATTAAGATACCAATATATGGAAGCATGTTCAAATCTATATATTAAGCCCCCAAAAGAGATTTGGAGAAAAAATGCTTTTGTCAGATGTCCAATATAGTGAATTCTTCCAATCATTTGGACTTTCTAGTTTAATTAAGATGTTCACTCTCCATTATTTTGGCAGCCACTTTATCATAAGACGTAATGTGAAGAATAAGGTTTACCTTGAATTCCTTGTTTTCTTTGTTCACTTGGATACGGAGACAGACTGCAGCCAAAAACATCAATCAGTCTTAGACAATCTCTTGCTATTATAACAGGGATTTTAGCTGCACTAAATGTCATAAGTTTACTTACCAGCTAGGACTGCTGTCCCAACACAAGAAAGTATTCCTGAAAGAAAAGAGTTAAACGGGAAGGATCCAACGACAGCCATGTACACCACCTGTCATCCGAGAAAATTTGAAAAATGTCAGAGCTGGACATAACAACTAGGCCGAATTTGCATAAAATGAAATAAACAAACAAAATAGTAAATAAAGTCATACCACCAAGCAGACACAGTTGACACATAGAGAGTAAAACAGAGCGGGTATTAGGCTAACTAAACAGAGAATTGAATAACTTAAAACTGATAACATCATCCAAGCCTCTTTATAATAATAGAAAATGTTTTATGTGAGAATCAACAAACTCCACAAAATGTTAAGAACAAGACTGAACATGAAAACAGAACACCAATGTAACAAACAGAATAAAAATACCCTGGGAAGGAAAATACAGAAGTTCTGTACTGGAAAAACTAATTTCCTAGCCAGCACACGTTAAATAAATACGAGTCTTGCCGACACTCTCACAGCTATTATTGAGCAATGTAGCAGAGTAATTGTGGTACAACCATTTCTAAAATGAAATTCTGCTATTTCTAGGTAACCACAGTTATTTCTTCCTTCAGAAAGAGAGATCAGTGAACATTGAGCTATTGGGCGTGAAATAAAAATTTACTTGGAATACACAAATCTAAGACATAAGACATGGAATATGTGTACACCTGTCAACAGAATTTGCTGATTTCTACTTATTTAAATTGATATCATTTAAGCAATCAGTCTTCTTACAATTCAGGTGGAGTTGTGGTCAACCAAGGCCATTCAATACTGCAGACCCCACCAAATGGGAGCTTTCTAAGTTAACACCCAATAAGTTCCACTTTGCACTACAGGGGTGGTTACACTAATTTATCCTTCAGAAAACAGTCATGTGGAGTAGTGGTCAACCTAGATTCCTTGTTAGGCTTGTAAGTCGAAGGCCTTTCATAATCCATGTCAGATAAAGAGGGGAAGGCAAGCAGCTTCTTTCAGGCATCCAACGGCTGCTCTAGTTGAAGCAACTGTATAGTATAACATAAATTTTCTAGTTTGGAGCTCAAGACCGGAAATATAGATAAATAAATAACAAATAGATCAGTTGTTAAAGAAACTCATGTGCAAGCACACTAGCACTTGTGACAGAAAAGTAAAAGTTTAATAAATCAGAATGTTATACTGATAAACTAACTAAAAGGACTTCTGACAGCATTTTATCACATCTATAGCAGTTCCAGGCCAGTCATTCGCAAGGATTCAAGGGAAACAGCATGACTTGAAGGGGGTAAGAGTTCAAGAACCCTTCATGCACAACCAATATTTGAATTATTGCTGAATACATGAACTAAAAACTTCCAGCATTATGTTGAAATAAGGTCTCAGTCATAGAAAAAAAAAACACACACACACACACACTCAGACACTTTGAAACTTCATAATCAAATTATATAATGAATGAAATACCATAATATATGCATCAAAATTATGCCACCCTTAATTAGACCACAACTGCATAATATCATTACTTTGAAAACATACAACCACAGAAAAAATGGGATTAAAATAAGGTTAATGTCAAATATAATAGAGCAGTTTGTGAAAGCCCATTCGCTTAGTGATCACTAGTGTCAATGGACTATTTGGTGTGTCAAAATCTAATAGCATGATTACGGCTAATGTATCCCAATATGCTTCATTTGTATAGGCCTATAATGGTATAAAACAAATTCTTTTATCACATTGGGAAGTCCCAACTCGCACCCATATAAATGATTAAGGCACTGCCATTGAGTGGATCGACTTCAGTCTCATGGAGAGAGGGTGGTAGCGCTCCCACTAGAAAACTCGTGTTGCTACTGACTTTTCCATTTTTTTCTCAGCAGAAAACAAACCATGTTGGTCATCACGGAGTCTCTAAATTTTGGCACGAGTTTATATGATTTTAATACACAGTTTTTTATATATTTTAAATACTTGTCAGAAAAATTTAAGACACCAAAATAGGATCTAGCATTTCATGTATATAAAAAATGTGCGTCATGTAAACTCACATCAGTATGTAGAGTGCGGTTCAGAGCTTGCTGTTGAGATCAAAAGAGAGAAACCGAAACCAAAATCAGTAAGCTTAATGGACCAACCCTCACTGATATATGGTTGAGGGTAGGGACCTCCTCATGTGGTAAAAAAACCATAAAACTCGTCCCACTATAGATTCATAACATAATTAACAAAAATGTTAGATTTGTCAAAATCACATTATTGGATATGGGCACACTAAACGGCCCATTAACATTATTGTGATCATTTACATAATGAATCTACATAAATAATCCAACATATTTTGACATCCCCAATATGTAATTAAATTTTGTCACATAAATAATAGAATGATTATGCTAATCCACCAAAATCAGTCCCTTCAGTTATAAAATTATCTCTTAACACCTCTGTCATTAAAGAACCTCCTTATTGTAACAAAATAGAACATCAAGCAACAGCCTTACTTTCCAATAACAATCCTTAATGTTTCTTGAAAGTATAAATTACACCCATTGGTCAATGAACTATAAGGAGACTTGCCCTCAGCGCTTATGCATCTGGAATATACAGAGCATGACCTTTCTAAATGTTCCAACTAAGACTATTACAGTTTCCACTTCTGGAGCAAGGTAATTGAGGAAAAAGGAGTACTCTTTAAAAATGGCTGTTCTAAGCCTTTCATTCTTTCCAGAAATGAACTTAAAATTTTAATTCCAAAGGCCTAAAAGTTTTTAGGATTACTTTTAGCATATTCATAGACTGATACTTAGATGTCATAGTAATTGTTTTCGTTTGTGTTTGTAAGCTCAGAAAGTTTATTCAGTCTTGCGATTTTGCTCCTTCCTTGACTTATGAATGAGCTAACCTTATTGTATAGGATCCACAATCCTATCTTCTGTTAACTCAAACATGGATTCATTTCTTACTATAACCCAACAAAAGCCACAAAAATTGCACACCATAGTGAGGTGGCTTCTGTCTTATGAACAGAATATTGGTCGCTAAAACAAAAGCCATGCTCACCACAACAAAGTTCTTTTCAAGACCTACCATGTGCTGCCAAAAATCATCTCCTATGTCAGTCATACCTGCCAATTTTCTTATAGCCTCAAAATTTGAAGCTAATGCTTCCATCTTTCAGCTTGTTAAAGTGGTTTATCAGCTAGTGCTATTTCATAGTTTCTTAACCTATAAATGGCTGGTTTCTCTTCCTAATCTCCTTAACAAATGGGCTAGGAATCTGATTTCATCTAGTAATCCTGAAGAAAGAAACACTATTGAGACCATAAACGTATATTACTTCAGACATATTACTAAATTAAACAGATAGGAAAATATGTAGCAGCCCTGTGAGATCCGTTTCGTTATTTACCCGATACAACGAACCATAGACAATTTTCGTTTCTCACAAAACCAAAAAAAAAAAAAAAAAAATCAAACAATACAATCCATATCAGGCGAATGTATCACAATTACAATCCATATCATACGAATGTATCACAATTACATAATACAATTACCGTCCAAACATTACATGGAAAGTTAGGAAACCAACAAATGTCAATCAGGGTACCTGAATCAGCGCGGTACATATGGCGAAACCCACATAGAGATCGATGATCTGCATCCAAATTGAACCAGAAAAGGGGTTAAAAAGGTGAAATTATAAAGAGAGAAAAGACGGTCAAGTGATTAGAAAGATGAAGAGACCTTCAGAGTGGTGGGAGTGGCTGCGTAAGCAGAGCGAAGGGAGTGGAAAAGCGCTTGTGCATCCTTGCTGGTGGATCTCGCCATTTGTAATCCCTTCTTCTTCTTCCGATTCGACTACGCAGATCAAGCACCAATATCACACTCTTAACACCAAATGAGGTCTCGTCACTCGTTTACTTCTATTCTTTGGGAGACTTTCAAAACCTACCCCTAACCTTTTGTTAATATCCGACTCGTGGCATTTATGCAGGAAACTATCAAAATATACCCCCGAAGGCCTGAACCCTAACACCCTCAAATTAAGTTTAACAGCTTCAGGGGTATTTTGGGCAATTAATTGAAAACACTATACTCTATTTCTATTTCACTATTTCTAAGAATTATTTTTAAAAAATTAAATTAGAGTGAGGCCAAGATGAACAAAGTTCGAGTTGTCAACCATCACAAAAAATTTCAAATTCAATGAGAGTAAGGGCAAAGTGGTGTTTTCATATTATTTTCCATTTTAAAGTAACAAAACTTAACAAGTGTTAGGGTTTAGGGGTACAATGGATGATTTATGGTATAATAAACGTACAGATATTAGCTAAAGGTGAGGGGTAGGTCAAAACTTTCTTTTATTCAATCGCTAATTTGCCATCGCGACTCGCTCTAGTTATAGGGGCAGTATCGTCATTTAGTTTAGGTTATTATTGCGGTGTTTTATCAATACATTTTTGAAAAAAATAAAATAAAAAAATAAGTCAAGAGGGTAAAGGGGGAGGACGTGTTTAAATTACAATCTGGGAATTACAATGGCTCTCTGGTGATATATGATCTCCCTCTCAATGATGACTAAGCAAAATCTAAAGAAAATTTTGCCAGGATAAGTAAATGCTCAGTTTTTTTTTTTTTTTTTTTTAGAAATCTTCGTGAGATTAGGGAACATTCGTTAGTTTTGGAAATGCAATTTAACTTTTTTTTTTTTTTTTATAGTGAGCACTTGTTAGTTTAAAAAATAAGAGCCTAAATCCTATGTGTTGGCCTTTTTTGTAATTAGGTTTATAGTAGAGTTAACAACAACTTTTTCACCCAAGGTTTGGCTCAAAGACAGTTTCTCACCAAAAAGTTTCAAAAAGACACTCTCTCCCACTGTTAAGATCCGTTAATAAAATTTGTTAACTGACATGGTATAATCAGTGTAAAGACTGGCTCAAAGACATTTTCACCCAAAAAGTTTCAAAAAGACACTCTCTCTCCCACTGTTAAGATCCGTTATAAAAATTTGTTAACTAACATGGTATAATCAGTGTAAAGACGATAATACATTTATTATTTGAATCCAAATCCAAATCCATACCTAAATTGTAAAAGTAATAAAATTTTAAAAAAAATATAAAGAAAAACTTTTGGAGAGAATTTTTCTCCAACTTCTTGGCTGCAGTGGGTGCCGTCACCAAAGGTTTTGCCACTTTTTCGGCACCAACTACAACCCTTAGAGCATCTCCAACCCACACCAAACACTGCGCCATTTTGGCGCAGTGCTACAATGCCACGCCAATTTGGCGCGGCACTGTAGCACTGCGCCAAAATGGCGCAGCACTGTAGCACAATAAAAATATGTATTTTTTTTAATTTGATTTTTTTGTTTTTTTTTATTTTGTTAAGTTAATTTTAGTATTAAATTTTATACAAAAAATCATACCAAATTTGAGAATTTGTATTTAATTTAATTTGATTATATTTATAATAATGATATAATTTAAAAAATGATAACAAATTAAATAGAACTTTATTCAATGCAAATATTAAACTACAATAACTAAAAATAAAAAAACACTAATTTAAAAACACTAAAATTAAAAGAAAATACAACATAAACTAAATAACAATTTAGTATTCCGGTAGATTAGTTTCGGATCCAGTAAGATCATCAAAATATTGAAAACAACTTGATTATTTGAGATCCTTGACCTGTTGTTGAGCTCTTTTTTGCATAATTCTTAATTGCTCATTTTGAAAAAAACAGTAGGCTGAATGGACAACACATCTTTTTGAATAAGCCACAAATCCAAAAGCTTGAATGGACAATACATCTTTTGAATAAGTCACAAAGCAAAAGCTTGAATGGACAACACATATTTTGAATAAGCCATAAATCTCAAAGCTTGAATGGACAACACTCTTTTTGAATAAGCCACAAATCTCTTTGAAATGCATTAATTGATCATTTGTGGGAAGAACATACTAATTGGAAATTAAATTACTACAATATGGAATTTTACCTTTGTGTTGTTGTTTTTTTTTTTTTTTGTATCATTTTATATGATGTAATGTTTTTCTATATTAAATGTAATGTTTATTTGATTAAATAAATGCTTAATTCTATTAAATTAGTATAATTTTCAAAATATTATTATTAATAAAAATATCATTCCCAATATTTAATTAATATATACAAAATAATGGTGAAATAGATTAATTGTTGATTATTCAATAAAAGAAAAAAAGAAATATTCTAAAGAATATTCTTTTTGGTGCAATATTTGGTTGGTTGGGTGTGGAGATGGAATAGTGTTTTGTACCAAATTTTGCACCAATTTGGTGCAATTTTGCACCAAATGGTGCAATGGGTTGGAGATGGTCTTACTCTCCTGCCCCTCCCCGTTGCGTCAGACAGTTTCACAGCCCTACACACAAATAGTTGTCGCTCGCGTCTTCTTTTGCATCGCGCGATTATTGCACCACTTGGCCATCGCCACGACTTGTGAAGAATGGATCGTGTTGCTTCATTCGTGTCACATTGTTTGCCATCGTAGTGCCTACTTCTATCGGTTTTGCTTGTGTTGCGCGACATCGAGTGCATTGCAGATTGATCGATTACACAACTATTGCCCTCAATCTTCGCAATAGTCGCGTAATTTGTGACGCACAAGTGCATCCCAATTAGTTACACATCAAAGATTTAGTCGCTGCACTTGTCTTCGACTATCGCCGCTTCATTGCGTGATTAGGTTAGGAGCAGTTCTTGTGCTTCTGGCGAGTAGCAAACACTCCCCTCTCTTTTGACCGATTGAGGAGAGGGCTATGGATGGAGAAGCTGACTGGCAGGAATAATTTTGAAGGTGGAGGATTTGGGTGCAAATTGTGTCCGGCCTATGTGATACACGCCTTGGTTTTTAACAATTTTTTTCTAGTGAACGGCCATCCATCAAATTTGGACGGCCGTTCACTAAATGGACACCGTTATAATCTATATTATATGGACGAGGGTCCATATACCAGGGAGGGGTGTCCCCATTTAATTGACGTCTGTCCTAAGTAAAATGAAATAATTTTTTTTTATAAAAATTAGGGACAGCCGTTCATCCGTTATGGTGCGTCCCTATTTTTTTTTTTTAAAAAAAAGAATGTTTCGTCCATACTTTAAAAAAAAAAAAAAACAAGAAGAAGAAGATTAATGGATCAAAGAAGAAGAGCTTACTTTGTCAGCTTCTCAAAAGAATCTGCACGTCGTGGAACCCATCCCCTGATGCCTCTCCAGTATACTATAATTACTTTTCCAGATAACCATGATCCCTCTTTACACGCTACAAACTAAACCATAAAACCAATGCCAATAACTCAACTAAAGCAAACATCAAAACTAGACAGTCTACAAATTCACACAAAAAACAATTAAAAAGAACATTCAGATAAACAATGGATTTCAAAACAAAAACTAACTATCAAAACACAATTCTAAACAGAACCCACAAAAAGTAAAGCCATAAATAAGAGATTAAGAAGTGAAACTGACTCCATGGAAGAGGAGATCGAGAACGGGAGAGTCGTAAATGGACTTGATCTCATCTTTTGACCAGTCGTGTTTGGGGCCTTCTCTAATGGTTCTCTCAGCTTCAACTGCGACAGCTGAATAACACGAACAAGAGGAATGAAATGGGGAGAGCTTGGAGGGTCTTAAGCTTCGCTGTGAAGTTAAAATGGAGCGAATCGACTGCATTTTTATCAGTTTAGTTCGAGATTTTGGGAGGATTTTTGTCGATGAAAACTACGAACATGTGAAAAGAGTTGAAGAGTAAATATGTTGCCACCTAATATTAACTATTTTTATTAATATGCTCTTTCACTCTTCAGGTTTTATGTGGCGGAAGTTCTTCTTGCTTTGGAGTATTTGCACATGCTTGGGATTATTTACAGAGACCTTAAGCCATAGAATGTCTTGGTAAGGGAAGATGGGCATATAATGCTTTATGATTTTGACTCTTTAAGATGTGCAGTCTCCCCAACTCTGGTGAAGTCCTCAAACTCCACCTTGGAGTCAAAGAATTCAGCATACTGTGTTCAATGCAAGCACGTTGGGTTCAGAAATGATTTTAAGGGAGGAGAAAATCAATGGAGTTAGAGAAGAAGAAGATGGTGGTGAGTTTGACCCTATTGCGCCTCCTCCTTTTAAATTATTTGATAGCGGCTATTCCTAAGCATTGTTGGGTTAAGAATCCATGGAGATCAATGAGCTATGTTGTGAGAGATGTTGTTGTGGTTTTTGGCTTGGCGAAGAAGAAGAAGAAGAGCGAAGAAGGTGTTTTTTTTTTTTTAAGTTTGGACGGGCTCCGTCCAAACGTAAGGGACGACCGTCCCCAATTTTTTTATTTTTTTTTTTATTTTTATATTTTGTTTAAGGACGGACGTCCCTTATTTGCAGATACCCGTCCAAAATGAAGGGACGGCCGTCCATAACGGATGAACGGCCGTCCCTAATTTTTATAAAAAAAAATTATTCCATTTTACTTATGGACGGGTGTCCATTAAATGGGGACGACCGTCCCTGGTATATGGACTCCCGTCCATATAATATGGACGGGCGTCCATGTGAGTGAACGGCCGTCCAAATTTGATGGACGACCGTTCACTAGAAAAAAATTGTTAAAAAAATCAGAGGCGTGTTACACGTAAGCCAATACACAATTTTGGTACAAGTTTTTCAGTGTCTGTGGCTTTATTCTTTTTTTTTTTAGTTTACATATAGAGGGTAAAATAACATAATTATCCTTTGACTGCTTTTTAAATTTACTATTTTATCATTCTTCGGTTAAAATCAATCATAGGTGGGTGGGAAAGTGTCTTTAGGCCAAACCTCGGGTGAGAAAATGTCGTTAACTCTTTATAAATATCATTAATTCAACCTTCATACTTATCGGCAATTTTATCAATTTAACCTCAAAAAGTATATTAAACTCTCAGCATTGTTGACATATTTTGGATATTAGATTGATTAAATAGGTGTTAGGGTTTATTTCTAAAACTAAAAGGTGTTCACCCTAAATAGATTAAGGGTAATACTGCACTTACAATTCAATCTCACAACATTGATGTAATAGTTTGTAATTGATCAACTCGCAAATGGGCAGACATGACCCTTAGCAAGCAAACGAAACCCATTTTCGAATTGACTAATTATGAGACATCACGTCGAGATTATGATATAAAGTTTGTAATAGTTGGTTGTAACGTATAAGAGTATATTTTTAAAACAAACAAATGCTCACTAAAAAAAAAAATTAAACTCACATGTGTTCTTATTAAAAAAAAAAATATATATATAATATATAATAATTAATTATTTATAAATGGGAGCCAGTATAATTCTCAAGACACAAAATTAATAGAGGAGAAAAAAAAGGTAGCTGGACTAGACGGAAATCTATTATCTCAAATTTTCCTGATAATCACTATGCGAAACGAACTATCTAAAACTTACGAGTGGCAGAAGTTGGCGGAGATATTCCTTCTAGTGATGCAAAAACAAAAAACCTTTCTTCAGATTTGTTTTTGTAAAATCGAGCTTAGAAGTTTCTGGAATTAATTAGATGTCAAGAGGCCACAAGTTTGGCGCCTTGTACGAGTGTGAAATGCGTGTTCACCTTCACTCTCTACCACATTTATAAATTTCTTTTACTCCCTCTACCTCTGCCCTTCGCTTCCAATTCCTAAAATGACGTCGTTTGGGTGCTTCCCCGCCATTTCACCGCCTCCCTCTCTGCTCACCAGACCTTCCTTTCGTACTCGCTCCGTCTTGCCTTTCCAGAACCGGTTGGTTTCCTTTTGTTAATCAAATAATTGATTATGTTTTTAAAGGTGTTAATTTGATTAATTTTGTTTATTCGGCAATTAGGTTTTGCAGGCTTGGTGTAAAATGCAGCTCTGCTGAAGCTGGTGTAGTGGACGAGTCTAACTCTGCTGCGATAGATGTAGTTGCTGATATTAAGTCTGAACGAGTAAGATACTGGTTTAACTTATCTCAGTCTTTTTCTAATATGAGATCATAAATTAGGTTAAATTTACTTAGAAATTTGAAATTTCTCACGAACAACTTTTTCTTAGTAGGTTGTGGTGTTAGGAGGCAATGGTTTTGTTGGTTCTGCGATTTGTAAGGCTGCAGTTTCCAAGGGCATTGAAGTTACAAGCCTTAGCAGGTCCCAGAAAAATTTCAACCTAATTGGCATGCATTTTATTTTATTTACTTTTATTGGAAATCATTGTTGACTGGAAAACTAATGTTTGTTTTATTTTTCACCTTATATTTTCGGGTGTAATGTTTAGTGTAAAATCTGAAGCTTGGGTCCTATCTCAGGTCAGGGCGTCCTAGTTATACGGGTTCATGGGTAGATCAAGTGAATTGGATATCAGGTATGTTTTGTTAATTACCTCCCTGATTAGTGAATCTGTTTGTGAGGCAACTTAACAAGTTTTATAGTTTCCGAATTCATAGTGCAAGATGTAGTTCGGAAGTTCATCTGTGTTTTTGTATGATGAGTAATCTAATTCCAAAAAGGAATGGTACTGAGGTTAACATGATCCATATTATGTAGGAGATGTTTTCTATGCAAATTGGGATGAAGTACTTGTTGGGGCTACTGCCATGGTTTCAACCCTTGGAGGTTTTGGGACTGAGGAACAGATGCTAAGGATTAACGGCGAGGCTAATGTTGTAGCTGTTGGTGCTGCGCAGAAGTATGGTATGTTAATGTCTTTGATTATGTTACAACAATTGAATATTGATGCTCAATCTTATTCCTTCTTCTTCTTAGATACTTTTGTTTCTTTTCGTTGCTTATTACAAACCTGATCACACTTCTTCCCATACACAAATGCAAATTAAATTGATCCCTTGAAGGTTGATGTGAGGGGGATTGATTCCGAGACGAGACCTAACCAACTTTCTCTATCATAGTCAGAAGTATCATTTATGCCTCGAAGCTATTCTCCCCATAAGCTTGATTTTCAAGTTTCATTCATTGGTTTTCTGGCCAGTAAACATAGGTTCATTGGTTCTGAGATGTGACATAAAGTAATATATTTCAACCACTAGAAGAAGACTGGCTTTGTAACGAGATTGCTGCACGTTGACTGAAACGGATGTTTAGGTAGTTTATTTAGGATAGGAGCTTGAAAACAACCAAGAATGGTCCTTAGTTTTGTATGTTAACAATGGATGGGAAAGAAAAAAAATGGCCCTATTGCAGGTGTTAAGTTTTGTGAATACGATTTCCTTAAACTCCTCAGTGAATAAGAGTAATCTGCAAAAAGAACAGAAATTCTTGGAAATTCTACTTCCTAATTAGTAAAACCAACCAATGCCACGAATGAATCATGCTAATATTTTATCAAATATATTGTGTATTAGCTTACTTTTCTTTCTCTTGCACACAATGTATCTTTATATTGAGAATGTGGTTCCAGAAATATATGTACTCATATGTTCTCTTTTTCTTTGCAGGAATTCCCAAATTTATCTTGATCTCTGTACATGATTACAATTTCCCACCATTTTTACTTTCTTCAGGATATTTCACTGGAAAGAGGAAAGCAGAGTCAGAGGTTCTTTCCAAATATCCGTACTCTGGTAACTTGGAATACCCCTTTCCTCAGTTTCTGGTTTATTTTTCAGAAGCTTTAAGATTTTCATGTATAGATGGGCAATATTTTTTTTTTTTTTTTTTGGGGGGGGGGGTGTTGTTGTTGGCATCAAATTTCATTTCTGGTCTCTATCTAAAATCAAGACTAAGCAAAATTAATGTCACATTAGAACCTTGTGTTCTTGCCTCTTGGTTTGCTTATTGACACCCTTAAAGCAACTACACAATTCGGAAGTATCCACATAATGGTAAAAACAATTCTAGGAGCCTGGCTGAAATCAAAATTGGCTTAATATATAACCTGGAAGACTGTGTATTTGAAGAACCCCCTTGTTACTTCATGGCCTATGCGCATCTTGTCTTAAGCATCTTATAGTTGTATAGCTATCTTCTATGTACCCTGTCATTATTCTTTTCCATTTCTGTTTATTTTCTTAACTCATCAACTTTGCTATGCTAATTAACTTCTTCAGGTGTTGTCTTAAGACCTGCTTTCATATACGGGAAAAGGAAGGTAGATGGTTTTGAGATCCCTCTGGATTTGATTGGGGAACCATGGGAGAGAATTCTGGGTGCAGTAGAAAATTTTACAAAGCCCTTGAGTTCACTTCCTGCATCTGATGTGTTCTTGGCGCCACCAGTTAGTGTTGATGATGTTGCACTTGCAGTAATAAATGCAGTAACAGACGATGATGTCTTTGGCATTTTCACAATTGAACAGATTAAGGAAGCTGCATCAAAAGTGAAAGTATGAATGTATTTAGGATTCACCCTTCTATACTGAAGTAGTAGCGATACATTACAGGCAGGCTGAGGAACAATTGATACGTGGTCAGAAATCCGGCGTTTAGACAGTTTCACGCTGAGTCTACTGAGATATAGTAAAGTTGTTTGTAAAAACTGTTTTGTGAGAATTCTTTAGCAACATGTTCTGTTTGGATCCTCAAATCTAAATTTCAGTTATCTATATAATGGCAAAGGTCATTCCACATCCTAATGGGAGCCTATTCAAAACAAACAAACAAACAAACAACCATTAAAAGAGACATGTAGCAACAGCTTTGTGAAGCAACGGACTATCCTTGTGGCATTGTCTGGATTACCTGTTGTAATTGCATAAATCTATAAAGACCTTTATAATGTTGATAGCATGATATCACAAAGCACAGTTACTGTCTTGTTGCCTATGGCTTTCAAAAGAGAACAATGTACATACAATCACTCAAAACTCAAGTTTCCAAGACAGATGTTGTATGGTCGACAGAATTTCTGATGAACCCATTTTGCCTGTGAATGCATCAATGAACAATGTTTACTTGTGCTGATTCTTTGCAAAAGACTGCTCAGTGAGATACCTGTCACAATTTTAGCAAGTTCCATATCATATGATGAATTGATATTCACATTTTTGAGTATTTTAGTAACAATTGTAGACATAAAGATTATATTATACTACTTATGGGAGGCACATAGTGATGATCTTAAGGAGAAAAGAGATGCTATATACTATTTAGACAATTAAAATGAAAGAAGCAATTCGAAGACTAGATTTTGAAGGAGTGGCAATGTCACATCTAAAAGTAAATTAAAATTCATTTTTTGACAAACAAAATAAATAAATCTTCCAAAATCATGATCACTTTTTGTTTACTTTTAAGCATCAATTATTATTTGTATCTACAACCGAGACAGAAAAGTTTGGGGGAATGCAGACACTAACATGAACAAATTTGTATTGGATATGATGGCATGGGCATGTATTAAAACCTATTCACTAAATCCAACAAATATCAGATCATGTTTATCAGGTCAAATTCATGGACATTACAACTTTACAAGCCCTCCAGTCAGGACTAGAGCTTGTATGCCAGACTTGGATATTAGCATAGATTTAAGCGTCCACACAATTCTCTTGATGTGTGATAAGAGGTGAAACAACAAGTAGATTGCATCATAAATAAGCATTAGCAAAAAGCAGTTACATATATTGATATAAGTGGCACAAGATAATTACTTACTTGCCAGTGTAGAAACCTGCAGAATACCAAGCATTTAAAACAACAGTAAGATCTGTTTCAGAATCATTAGTTTGAGCTATATCCCCTTCATTTCCTTTCTTTTTCTCTATCTCTGCAATCCATGAGAACGTAACAAACAATGCAATAAGAGACAATTGGCACTAGAGATTATACTGAAATATTAAACCAGAACAACAATTTTTTTTGCCCAAATCATAGTAAGAAAATGGCACAGAGATGTCGAGTGGAAAGGAGTGATCATGTCTCACATATTCACAACTTACCACAGAGAGAGAGTAAGCTTACCTTCATTTGTCTTCATGGAAGATATTGCTCTTTCTACAGCTCCCATTGCTGTATTGACAATGTCACTGTCAACCACAGAGGGCAACTTTCCAGATCCTGTTACTGCATTAGTATCAGTACAAGTTTTACCATTGCAAGCACCACCCAAAGAACAAGCAGAACATGTTGTGCAAGGGGCCAGACAACATTGAGAAACATACGGGCAACATGAACAGGCAACAGCCGGATGAGATGTTTGGCTCGGAGGGAGTTGATATTCTTGAGAAGTAGAAGTACCCCACTGTGCCCCAGTACTGAAATTTTCACCAGAACATTGGTAATTCCAATTACCAAATTGATTCAGCCGCTGTAAAATCTGTTGCCTCTTCTCCTCGAGCTCATAATACTGACCAAGTAACTGATTGTAATCTTCTGTGCCTTGCGAATATGTATAGCCATTAATTGCTTCTTGCATGACCACACCCTTTGACAAATCTACGTAAGGTTCAGGTGTCGAACCTATACACGGGTTTTCTTCAACTGGAGCAAGATTTTTACCCTCTATCATACCTGTTTCGGTCTTTGACACAAAGTAGTCATCTCCTCCATCCCTAAGTATTCATGAACTACAAAAAAATTAGAATAAAAATAGAAAGACTTCTGCAACGGAGTGGAAAGACACAAACTTTTATCTCATACTGAAAAGAGAAATCAATCACAACTTCAAAATTAGATTTTTAATGATTCATGCTGCTAGTTTGATCTATTTCTTATAATAAATTCATCTCCTACTTAATTAAACAACCAAATGATAAAAGGCAAGTAAGTTGAAATAAAAAAACAAATAATAGGGTTTCAATAACAATGCAATAGACGGACCTTATAGCCGCATGATCTTCAAGATGAAGAGCAGCTGTTTGTTCCTGGACTGAAGCGACGTCGTTTCTGTTCTTGCTGTGCATTTTCTGAACAAGATAGAAGACAAGTTTAGCATCTAAACTAAAATTTAGTTCATAAAATGGAGAGAAGCCCAGTAGAAAGAGAGATAGAAGGGACCTTGTATTTGGACATGGCATCGTCGAAGGCTTGGACGAGAGCAGAGTCATCCCACAACTCACCTTCCTTCCCCATCTTCTTCAAACACTATATCCAAAACCCTGTCATAAAACCCTTCACTTCTCTTTAAAGTAGGCTGGGGGGCTCTTTGCAAAAACAAAAAGTTAGAAAACCTCTCCCCTCGGCCCTCGCTACACCAAAAAGGGTGTAGGGTTCCGGGAAAATAGGGCATACTTGATTTATCAATACTAATACAATTTTTGTGGGTTTTTTTTTTTTTAGTTTTTAAAAAACATTTAATCATTGATTTTATTATGTGATTACTAATATGAGGTTTTTTTTTTTTAATTGTTTTATCCAGAATTTGTGTAATTGTTAAACTAAATGTAGGGGTGTTAAAAAAAAAGACAAAAAATCGAACTAAATCGAATTTTCAGTTATCTGAAAAACTAGTTCGATTTTGATTCAAAGAAAATAAAAAATCAAATTTTTGATTTGGGAGAATATCAAAACCAGTTTATTATAAAAATATTAAATTAAAATATAAAATTCTGGTTTATTATAAAAATTTTAAATTAAAACCAGTTAACCGAAAAACCAATTTTTCTCTTAATTTGTTCAATTTCGATTCAAGAAAATTTTTTAATCGAAAAACTGATTCGATCACAAAATCGGTTAACTAGTTTTAAACACTGTTAACTGAATCCACTCTTAAATTGTATTTAACTAGTTATAATTTTACTTTAATTTTTTTTATAAATACATTAAATTACTTAATTTTACCCCCTAGCATTAGTTCCTGGCAGGTATAGAGTTGTGTGATCCCAAATCCCAATTATTGGTACCACATTGTGAGTCTCAATTGATAGTGGGCCTGGCCCAAATGATGGATTTCCCACTCGAGATGTCAAATCTGACTTTCACATTTTCCAATTCTATGTTTACCTTTACGGTAAGGAACTAAAACGTTTTGCTATAATATCAAACTTGTATTTTCTTATGTAATTAAATAATTAATTAGTATCTTAAATATAATTCTACTTTTGCAGTCAAATTTTAATTTGAAATTGGATTTATTTGGCTTTAGTCACACCCTTTCTCCCCAAACAAATTAATATTATGTTTACAAACCTTTCGTATAAATTTTTTCATATAGATTAACGTAATAGATAATGAATTAATGTGACAGTTTCTACCTTCTACATCTCTCTCCAAGAGATAAACTCAATATTTGAATAGACTAAAGGGAAGTATATATAGAAAGCAATGGGGTCATTATAAAAAGAAGGGTAATAAATAAAATGTTAGAATAATATCGTTTAAATTTTTATATTCTATGTGAATCATTCATTCGTTTATCTTTATTGGTCAAATTGTGATAAGAAATCATTCATTCGTTCATCTTTATTGGTCAAATTGTGATAAAAGAAATATTCACGATAGTTATATTTAATCTCAACTCAACGTTATTCTTCACCCATCAATCAACAAAAATAAATGGTTAGTAAGAAATGTTCAAAAATTTAAAGTAAAAAACTTACTTTATAATATCGTGGTCCATAAATAGAAGAATATAGACAAACTTTTTGACTTTCAAATAACATTTTCCCATGTGTAAATTACAAAAAACAGAGGGTTTAAAATTACTAAAAAAGCCCTCATATGACCAATCAATTACATCTTATGTCAAAACACTTGAAGAAAAAAGTATTCCAAAATTTGTAGCAACCCCCCATGATAATTTTAAGTGGTACTGATATTTAAGGCAATATCTATTGGACCCCTCACCTTCTTAAAAGGTGTTTAAACTTTAAACACATCACCCCTTCATGTCTATAATGCTTTCGTGTGTTTTAGATTTGACATGTGAACTTTCGCACTTATCTTCTTCTTTTTCATTTTCAATCGGGCCCCCACCTCTTTTATTTTATTCAATTATTCCAAAAAACTAATCATAATTCCCAAAATACCCAACTCAAAATTACCCTCATAGACTTTTTATATGCATTCATTATTTGTTTATTGAAATGATTGATTTTTTTTGAAAATATGAAAAATGAAAACAAATTCATTATAAAAATTACAAAATATAATTTAAATTAATGTTTGACAAAAAAATATAATTAAAATAAATCTTAATTTAATTTACTTAAATAGATGGAATAAAATATAGCATAAATTAAACAAAAAATTATAGGTGAGAATTAATTGATTGAGGTAGTTTTCATTTGATTAAAAAGCAAAAAGACCTAATCGGAAGAATTTCCCATTTTCCAAGGACCGAGAAATAATGCAAAAAGGGAATTGGAGTATAAAACTATTACGGATACGGGTATAAATGTAATTTTATTCTGAATTTCATTATAGAAACACAAATTGCACATATCCTCGCCCCGATACACCAAACCTTACAGGTCAAGGGCCAATCAAATCTCTCATCATTGCAGTAGTCCAAAAGTCAACCCAATCAAAACGAAGCGTGACGAACAAAATAACACAGACGGAGTAACATTATCAAAGCCCAATTGAAACGTTGGCCGATTCTTTATTGTGAGCGAGTATTACTTTTCGCGCAAGCAAAAACGACATGCGAACAAGAGAGAGAGAGAGAGAGAGAAAAGACCGCCGACTTAGTAGATAGAATTGATGCTTATTATACACACACCATTCTCATTCTTTTTAGTCAAGGGGCGCGTGTTTCACTTTCGCTTTGTTATCATTTCTAACGTCGTCGTATTCACACCCATCCTCCCCTTCTTTGTTCCGCTCTTGTTTCTCCAGTAGTTAGGGTTTGCTATCTCCCTCTCTCTTCTTTCTTTTTGTTTCTCTCTCTCTCTCTCTTAATCTAGCATAAAGAAAAAATAAAAAATAAAAATAAAAATTGAATTAGACATAGGAAATCTTCTCTCATGAAAATAATCCTGCACCAAATCGAAACCCTAACCGATACTAGTTTTATGTTTTCACAGGTAATTTTATTCTTGTTTCGTTTTTGTATTTATTCTTGAAATATTTGATGTTTTTACCATTTTGGAGTCGAGGAATTTAGGCTTTTAACGATTTTTTTGTTTTTTATTTATTTTTTTAAATTTATTTAAGGATTTGTATGTTATGTAATTTTTCAAATTCTGTTTTTGAGCGGTTAATCTGTTAGATCGGAGTCGATTTGTACTGATATGAATTCTAGGGTTTGAATTTGTGACGATCTTTCGTGTTTTGGTGAAAAAGTAGCGATATAAATGTAGTTATGGATTTAATTAATTTGTTTTTTTTTTTTTTATACTGTTTGTTTGACCGAGATTATCTAGGATTTTGGCCCAGAGATTTTTAGAATTTATGTTTGTAATTCGTTGATCTTTATGTGGTTGACCTAGATTAGGGTTATACTTACAAGATTTGTATAATTTTTTCTGATTAAATTTTGTTTGATTGATGTTAAGCTGTGAAGGATTGATTACATTAATTTATGAGGAAAGTTTGTTGCTTTACTGAAAAATTATTCGATTAATTGATTTAATTTTGCAATTTTTGTTATGATCTGTTTTGTGTGAGGAAAAGGAAGGAAATAATTTAAATATATGGTTTGAAATCTGCTTTAGTTAGTGATTTAAACATGAGTTGACTTTGTTATTACTTACTGTTGCAAGCTATTTTGAATATGTTTAATTAATTCTAATTTTAATTTAGTCACGGCATATGAATTAGGCTAAGACGAGTGGCTGATTAAGTCTTTGATGACTGAGAATTTAGTATTAATGGTAATTTATAAACTTATATCTTTAATCTTTTTGTTTTGATTTCTGAACAATGAAATTGTATTTCTCAATGAGTTCCAGTCTGGGAAATATAATAGAATTCGGGTCTTTGAACATGAGTTTGTATATTGTTATTTGGATGCTTTAGGAGCAGAGCTATTCAGGACTGTATATGAATAACGGACTGGCTTATCTTTTGTGAACTCAATATCCATCATAAAGAAAGAAGAGGAACTTGTACAGGATGAACACTAACTGTGGTTGCTAGGTATGTGATATTCTTTCTAAATATTCTTTCAATTGCTTGCATAATTAGTTAAGGTTGATGTTTCATGCTATCCTGAGTCTCTTGAATGCTTATTTATATTAATTTGTGTTTATAATGGTCTTTCATGATGTATGGGTTTATCTATTCAATCTAAAGTATCCTGACTAGTTTTTATTGTGCAGGATTTGCTAGTTTACTCCAATGGCACTGTTTCTCTGAAACGGGTGGCAGGTTAGAGTAGGGTTGTTGTATAGCCTTATTTTTAAACCTTTGGATTTAACCTTTTTGATAGGGATTGATCTAGTAGGTAGAAATAGAAATGGATCCAAAGATCGCAAAGGTATTGGATAGTAGTCGTAGAGTTGTGCTCGGTTTGAAGAGAAAGAGAGCCTCTCCATATGCTACATATTTTGCTGGAGCTCCCCGAGCAGTTTTACAGCATTTGCCCCTCTACAAATCGTCAACCCAAAAGCTTGGAAAGCGAAGGAAATTGGATGGATGCAAAAGCAAAGTTGTGAGTGGGTGTCATTTTAGAAAATCCTTACTCCTTTGTTACTCAAATTACAAGAAAAGTGGTATTCCACAACGCCTTATGTACTATGAGAATGGTGATTGGACTGATTTTCCTGAGGATCTTATTGCTTTTGTGAAGAAAGATCTTCAAGTAAAGAAGGCAGCTGTTGAGGTTGAGCTAGATGGTCATCGTTTTCTGTTTGATTTCCTGCATATGTTGCGACTGGACTTGAAAACAGGTACACAACAACCGATTGCTTGGATTGATGAAACAGGCGCTTGCTTCTTTCCAGAAATTTACACCGATGGTGATGAATTGTATGACTGCTGCCAAAATGAATGTGGCCAAGATCATGAATTAATGTGTAGGGATTCTTATGGGCCCCATGAAATAAAGCTGCAGCTTGAAATTGACATAGCTGGAGTGGAGCAGTCTAAGTTGAAGGAATGTAGTGGGGAGTCAAATGCCGTTATTAAGCAGGTTCAAATTGCACAAAAATCTGCTGGTAACCAATATGTTGTGGAAGTTGAGGATAGTTGCAACCGGAAAACTGATGCAAAACTAGATGAAGCTATTGAGGACAATCAGCATATGAAGACCAACATAGTGAACAGGACTGAATTGGTTGATGAAAAGTTGGATTCCGATGCTGTACGGAAGTTTTTTTTAATGGGTATGAGACATTTTGGTGGTGTAGAGATACTTGATATACAGTGTTGTGCTAGTCCTACAATGTCAGCTCGTTTTGAGCTTTTCCAGAAACAGCTTGAAATTACAAAGAAGTATCGTGGGGATGCAAATGTTCGATATGCATGGCTTGCTTCATCTAAAGGAGCACTACCTATGATTGTGACATATGGGCTTGGGCTTTGTGGAGCATCCACAACTCAGTCTACATATGGCATTGGTGTCCATCTTGCTGCTGCAAGCTTTCCTGATGCCAGGTTCGACGGTTATTTTCCAATTTCTCATGGCATGTATTCATGAACCTTGTATATTTCACACATCATTACGAGAATGATGAAATGTTGTGCTAAGCAAGAAGCTTTTTTGATAGAAACTACGGGAAAAATTGGCTCACAACCCAATCTTACAAACTTTTTCTCACAATCCTGACGTGGTAGCTCGCAATTGGTCAACTCAGAATTGTGCAGGCGGTACCTGTAATTAGGCATGCGAGACTCATTGTGAGCTGACCAATTGCGAGCTGTCACGTCGGGATTGTAAGAGAAAGTTTGTGAGATTGGGTGGTAATTGTAATATTGTCCTAGAAACTAAAGGAAAATGACTTTTCATCGATAATAGTGCAAAATAATCATCATTTTCTTATCATTGACATGTACTTTCTTTTTTCTCTTTGTACCGGCCTATTCATTTGACTTTTAATTGATAACAGTGCAAATTATTGTGATGTTGACGAAAATGGGGTACGACACATGGTATTTTGTCGTGTGATTATGGGAAACATGGAGCATTTATGCCCTGGAACTAAACAGTTCCATCCCAGTACAGAGGATTTTGATAGTGGAGTAGATGATCTTCAGAACCCAAGAAATTTCATAGTCTGGAATATGAATGTGAATACCCATGTTTATCCAGAATTTGTTGTTAGTTTCAAGGTTGCCTCCAATGATGAAGGTATATATTTCTCCGTTACATTTCTCTGTTCCTTTTAATAAGTTCTATCTATTTTTGTCCCTGACTTAGAATTTCATACTTCTACATTATACGATGCTACCAATCAACATTGGTCATGTCTGGATGGTACACGGCAAATAAGTTTTGCTGGTTGGAAACCAACAAAGCGACCTCAACTGTCCAATCTGTGTCAATCTTGGATGTCAAAGATTAAAAAAAGTTGTTTTTAAGAATCGTGCCGATTCATGATTTGTAGAGATATCTCCTCTTGGTTGGCCTTGTCTTCTGCGGATGCTGTATGAATATAATAAATTTATTTTTTGAAATTTTTTTAATACTTGAGCATTAGTACTTTATGTTGTCTTTACAGGGAATATGGTCGGAAGTGAGAATCAGCATACGATTTCTGCAGTCACTACATCTTCACAAGGGCTTAAAAACCATTTGCGATTGGAATCCTCTGCAGTTGATTTTGTGAGTGTCTGGAATATGTTAGCTGTTTTCTTTAATTTTACGATGGGAAAGTGAATAAGCAAAATTGTTGAACCTGTAGTCTTATATCCGAACATTTATCATATTCCAATCTAATGATAAAATGCCAGAGCTATAACATTTAAACTAACATCCTTAGGTTACTGCTACATAAATAAATTTTATATTTTGAGAGAAAATGCTTTATCTGCTAAATAATTATAAAGTGACTGAAAAATTACTTGAACAAATAAATTTTTAAGGGCCCGACTATTTATTAGCCTCTTAGCATTATAAAACTTGATGGCTGGGTTTTTTGAGCTATTTTAATAAGAAGTTGTATTACTGGCGTTTCTAAAGCCTGTAACCTTGATTTTGAATGATTACTTTGTTGGCTTTTTAACTGCTATATCAGGATTACTTAATCCACGTGTAGTGATTGGCTGATTTTATCATTAGCATTTGATGATATTGATATATGTTAGTTTGCATTAACTGTTGACCTTTGTTATCTTCTAGGGAACTGCTAGTCCTCTGGTTTCAGAATCTGGGGGATCTCAGGGAAAAGCTCCTAGTACTAATTCAAGCAGTCCAAGGGCTCCCAAATCCCCTTGGATGCCTTTTCCTATGTTATTTGCTGCCATATCGAATAAAGTTTCTCCTAATGACATGGAACTAATTACCAATCATTATGAACTATTCAGGGTATGTTAAATAATGTCTTGTTATTACACTTGATACTTCTATCTTCATTGAAATTTTCTTCTGCTTCTATTATTCCTCCTCCCACCTTTTTCTCTCTGTTTGGACGTTTTATTAGGCGAAGAAGATAAGTCGTGATGATTTTGTCAAAAAGTTGCGAGTGATAGTTGGAGATGTTTTGTTGAGGTCTACAATAACTGCTCTTCAATGCAAGGTAATGTTTTGGACTGCTACTATTTAATTGGCATGCAATACTGATTCTGGCTTACCAGGATTTTTAGTTTAATTATTTGACAGCATTCCGAAGGACTCTTCTGAATTCAAAAACTTAATAACTTTCCTGGACAAATCACAAAAATTTCTAGTAAGGAAACCCCTGCAGTTGCATGGACTGTGCTGGAAGCCATAATGATACATAATTGCATAGATGATGCAGTGTCTGGGTCTTTATCCATTAGCTTTAAGTATGAAGAAGTTGAACTAAAGAGTGGAACTAGCTTAAGGCTTAAATGAAGGCAACCACCAGGGTATTGAAGACACAATATTCAATCAGCAATTCCTTAAGTCAACTCATGCCAAGGGTGGTCTTGATTCTTGTTGTGAACTTAATAAATTGGCTTCAGTATCTTTGATTTTTCCCTTTAACGTAGATTGTGATGATGTGCATTACGTGGTTATGCAATAGGGTGTTTTCTTTGATGGTATTCTGTTGGATGTGGTTCAAACTTCTACCCTTGTACTAAAACAACATTCCACGGATTATGAGAACATATCTCTTGAACCAAAAAACCTATTAAAAAAGTTGGGACCATGTATGCCTAAGTCCTTTGAACTCTTGTCTATAATGAAACTAAGAACCAAATACTATTCCTCAATACTTAAGCCTCCTGTCCCCCTCCAAATGCAGCAAAGTCCATCAAACAGTAGCTTTACAAAAATATGGAAGCACCCCATCTTATTTAAATCAGATTTTTTTTAACAGCGAGAATAAGGTGGTCTGAAGGTCTTTTCTTGTGCCAAATGTCACAAGTATTAGTTGATCGAGCAAAAGCACCACTTGTAGGGACACAGGAAGTTGCTTATCACCCAGTAGCAGAGAGAGCCCTAGTACCAGTGACTGTTTTGGCACCAGAGGCAAAGGTAGCAAAGCCTATTCAAGACTAAAAACACTGACTTAGATCCCGCTGCCATCTACATCTACTAAGACTACCACACTGACACAACTCTGCCTGGTGCAGCAGGTGAGCTTTCTATGTGATCTTATTTGAGAGGCCAAGGACTACCTTTAGGTTTTTACTCGAAAATCTAAAGCCGTAGGATTCCCTTCCATGGTTTTGTATTGTCAAGAGAGGGAAGAGACCACCTCCTTTCCAGTTATGTAGGTAGGGGTGGAAAAAACTGGTTTAAACTGAACTGGATTCCGGTTTAAATAAAAAACCAAACCGAAACCAAACCGGTTTTTTACTTAAACCGGTTTGTAACCGAACCGAAAATTCGGTTCGGTTAACCGGTTTTTTAAAATGGTTTGGACCAGTTGGCCCAATTCAATAAAACCTTCCAATTTGGCCAAATTTACTATAGCTTGCCACTCACCCACCCCAAATGGTCTTTGATCGGACCAATAAAAGGGAGACCATATTTTTCCTAGAATTTTTCGGATTGGAGGTTGAGTGGCAGGTTGAGATGGTGAAATCAAAGACCAATAAAAGGGAGACCATAGTTTCCTAGGATTTTTTTGGATTGGAGGTTGAGTGGTAGGTTGAGATGGTGAAACCATGGTTGATGGTGAAGTTTTATTTGGAGAATAGAACATTGGAACCGAAGTTGCAGAGAAGAAAAAGATAGAAATGGTGGATGCGTATTTGCAGAGAGAGTGAGAGAGAGGGAGAGGGAGAGTGAGAGGAAGTTAATAAAAGAGAGAGTTTGAAAATGAGAAGGAGAGAGACGTATTTAATAGAAGTGAAAGATGAAGATTGAGGAGATCGAGGGAGAGAGAGAGAGGCATTTAATAAAAGAGTAAATGAAGAAATCGAGAAAGAGAGGCATTTAATAAGAGAAAAAAAGTGGAGAAATCGAGAAAGAGAGTGGTATAATACCGAGAAGAGAGAAGGATTTAATAAAAGAAAAAAATTATTATTTTTTTATAATTGGTTTAACAATCCGGTTTCGGTTAACCGGTTTATGTTTTAAAAAAAACCGAAACCGAACCGAATATTCGATTTACCTATTATTGTAAACTGAAACCGAACCGAATCCCTAAAAAAACTTAATTTTCGGTCCGGTTTTTTGGTTCGGTTCGGTTTTCGGTTTTTTTTTCCCACCTCTATATGTAGGACTTCTTTTTGCCCATCAGAAATTATTGTCCGAGGAAAACAGTAGAAGAATAGATTCGGATNCCCTTGTACATTCCACGGATTATGAGAATATATCTCTTGAACCAAAAAACCTATTAAAAAAGTTGGACCATGTATGCCTAAGTCCTTTGAACTCGTCTCTAATGAAACTAAGAACCAAATACTATTCCTCAATACTTAAGCCTCCTGTCCCCCTCCAAATGTGGCAAAGTCCTACCACACTGACACAACTCTGCCTGGTGCAGCAGGTGAGCTTTCTATGCGATCTTATTTGACAGGCCAAGGACTACCTTTAGGTTTTTACTCGAAAATCTAAAGCCGTAGTATTCCCTTCCATGGTTTTGTATTGTCAAGAGAGGGAAGAGACCACCTCCTTTCCAGTTATGTAGGACTTTTTTTTGCCCATCAGAAATTATTGTCCGAGGAAAACAGTAGAAGAATAGATTCGGATATTTGGTAATGTTTAACTTGGTCTTTTCATTTCATTTACTGTCCTTAACATGAAAAGGTGTTTCATTAAGAAGACATTTCATTAAGAAGAAAAAGGTTTTTGAATGTTTTAGTTTTCTTTTTGAACCTACTCTGACTAACTTTAGCTTGCAGAGCCTTACAGAAATATCAGTTTACTTCTTGCTTCTATGGTGGGGCTACAGTGCAGGAGGAAGAATGATCAACTTTATTTTGCCTGCTTCTCTCCCTCTGTTAATTGGATTCTTTAGTTGAACAGAAACTGCTGGATAATTTTTTATATTAATATACATATATTTTAAGGTTTAGGAATGTCTTGAGTGATTATCCTTGACTGAATTTGGTTTACTTTGGTTGCGACGGGCTGTTAATATTGATTTGTATAATTTATCTTTTTATTTCGTTTCTGAGTGGCTGAGCTCCCTCTGAATACTGTTTTATGTAGCCTTTTTTCCTTTGTTAAATATTGGATTGAAGCTCAAGTGTCTTTGACAAAAGTTTTAGAACTTTTATCAATTGAACTATGGCATCTTTGCTAATGCATAAGGAAAAGAAGCATAGTGGTCATTGTGCCTGGTCCACCTTTCTTATGGGTCTACCTTGTATGGTGGATGACTTTTGCTAGTGATAAAATATGGATGGGGTCTTATACACATCCACGTAGAATGAACTTATTTGCCACTTCTAGCGAGTATAATGTAGCATCTAAAAATTGTTGTAGTGTTGAATGCGCTTTGGATTCCATTGTGCACAATTTTTGATTTGTTAATTGAAATTTGATGATTGTTTGCAGATACCTTCCAAACGTGAAGTTGAAGTGGTGAAGCAAAATGTTGAAGGATCACCTGAGCTTCAGCTAACGTTAGGACCGTCTGCTGGAGTCTGAGCAGCTGTTCAAGGTCTCTCTGAATTCTCTTAATGGATATGCGGGAGAGGAGAGGAGAGGAGGCAAGGCTTGGTACATGTTCGTTAGAAATGTGTCGACATGAATTTGTGAATATAGTAATGCGTCTGTTGAAGGATGTTAGCTCTTTAGTTATTTGAAATTCTAGTTGTTTTACTTTGTTTTTATTTTTGTTTTTGTTTTTGTTTTTGTTTTTGTTTTGTTTTGTTTTTTTAGTCTAGATTAGTTCGACTTGAATTGCCTTTGAGGTTGTGTTCGAATTTAAGACTTTTCCCTTTATTTTGCTTTTGGAAATGCTACTCATTTTTCTTCTATGCTCTTGATTTATTTCCGTATTCGATTCAGAAATGGCTGATCAATCTTAAGAGCTGTAATCATATATTGAGGCCCCCCCCCCCAAAAAAAAAAAAAAGAAAGGCTGTAAAATTTGGGTTACATTTAATTCTTGCTCTGGTAAAACCTTGAGTGGCACTAGTGCTTGGTGTGCGGTGCCTCGATGATTTGCGGTAGAGTTTGGAAATCTGTTTACTTGATTTAATGAAACGCTTGTTTTTAAAATTGGCTGGAATTGATCTCCATGGACGGCTAGGAATAAGAAGAATTTGCGTGAACTTTCTGGTGTGCGAAGACTGGTTGGTTAGTACTACAATTACCTAAATTACCGTTTGTATAATTGTATGCTGGAAGAGTTTCTAGAAGGGGAATTTCGAATGCTGGAATTTAATTAGGGGGCGTTTGGTTCAGGAATGTTAGATTACTGGGAATGTTGGATTATTGAAAAGATAGATTACCTTGAAAGATTACTAGAAAATGTGTTTGGTTAGTTGGTGGGTATGTTATATTAATATGGTTGGTTATGGGGAATAAATTGGTGGATATGTTATTTAAATTACTAAATTGTCTCCTTTACAAATATTAATATAATATTATTTTTATTATTAATTTTTGAATAATTTTTTTTTAACCTCTAATATTTCAGATTTAGTTAAAATACACCTACTTATATAAAACTTTAAATCTGGCCTGAAATGGCTAGAATAGTTCTGGCTATTTTTGGCCAGATCTGGCCTGATATGGCCGTTTTCGGCCATCAATATGATCGAAAGCGGCCATAGCGATGACTCCCGGAGCCTTCCATCGAAACTTGTTCTTTTTTAGGGACTCCGACGAGTTTTTCGAGGCAATCCATGGTGGTTGGCCGTTGTAGGCGGTGGTGGCTGGGTGGCAATGGTGGTGGTGGCTGAGTGGCCGTGGTTTGTAAATTGTTTTAAATTCAAGGATATTATTGTCCAAAATTTTAGTTAAATAAGGATAAAATTGAAATAGGATATTAATGTAAATTTATTTAAAAATGAGGGCATTATTGTCCAAAAATTTTATTAATAAGGGATAAAATTGTAACAAAAAAGAATAACCCTGTTAATCTCAGAATACCTAAGAAAATGGAGGTAATCAGATTATCTCTAATATTACCAATAGTAATTATTAGTATTTGAAGATTACCAAAATCTTATATTACTTGACAATCAAACGTGGTAATCGAGTAATTTCAGAATAATCTGACATTATCGTCAACCATGCTCCCTTAGGGTTTTGATTTGAAAATTAGAAAAAAGAGTTGGCAATGACAGACGTCGGTTTTACGTAGTTGAAAAGTCAATAATGAAAGATTGACATTGACTGATATAATTGGTGTCTTTTTATATTTTTTTCCAGAAAGAAGTTAGGTCGGAAAGACATTAAATAAATTATCCCCACCCTGCCCTTATATTAATCTTTACCTTATTGTCAATCATACATAATATTGAAATTGATATTTTACATTGAAATTATGGATTTCGATTAATTTTTTTTGCAAAAAGTCAAAACTGTCCTTGTCTGTTGTCCGCTATCAAAAATGTTAGGTGGTGGTTGGGAAAAGATTGCTGATGGGTATTGTCTTTTCCATCGGAAGATAATATTTAATTACTGAAATACCCCTCATTTGTTAAATGAATATAGATTTTATTAGAATAATGCCATGAATTTAAAGTTACATTTGAAATATGCTTATAATATCTTTTATATTAAAAATTTCTGTCGAATAATACACATTGGAAATTGTGGAAATTGATGAGTAGATGACAACTCCGGCACCTTCAAACCCACAATTTCACCTATCTACGAGTGTGGTTTGTTTACTTTCTTTTATTTAAATTCGGTTTTTAGTTTTATTATTTGACTTTAAATGAAACTGGTATATATCAATAAAGACTCAGAGAAATAAATACAATTCTCTCTGTAGTTGAAGTAAAGTATGATAAACTTACAAAATGATATGATCTGAGGGCAAATTCCTCAAATAATCTATTGCTTTGATGTACATTGTTTAATTTCTACACTCTTGCAGGAGATGCATCAGTTCCAGATGACGGATCCCACCCTGGAGGCTTAATGTTTGGCCAATCGCCGCGACATCCTAACCTTATATAGAGGCTTTTCTTACCTTCATAACACAACACAAATGAGTGTCAATATCAATTACAAGAGCTGCACCACAATCTGACATTAACATTCTCAAGCATAAAACGTGGAAATGAACTAGAAACAGCATCAGTTATGATGCCTCACTTTACAAGTCTATCAAGAGTAGGTAGCCGTATGAAATGAGGTATGGAGCTCTGCAACATAATCTATGAGTACCTGGGAGTTTCCTGTCAGACAAGATTAACTGTTTGAGGGCACTCAAGGATGCCTGAGCCACACTCTTGGCATGATCAGCATCCCAACCCTGCAGCTTGACAACTACGTCTGCATTTGAATAACCTGAATTACCATCTTGAACATGCCTTCTGGCCTCCTCCTTGGCTGAATTCTCATCTGCATGAATAGGTTTAAATCAACTGTAGCTCATAATGTATAAAGCACCAAAATAGGAACTCCAAAACACGCCTTCTTGCATGAATGTTGAGTTTGAGTATAAAAACTATAACTTTAAGGGTGAAATTTCAAATTTAGAGTGGTATTCATAATATTTGCAAGAATTTTTTTCATAAAGAGGAGGATTTTTGCATAACTTATCGACATGCAAGTTCCTCACATGGAAAAAAGTTGAAAACAACTTTTACATGGGGAAAATACTAGGAGTTACTAATCTAAAGTGAAGCAATGAAAAAAAATTCAAAGTTAAGGTACCCGGTGCTTCAGTCTGTGATAGCCACACAGTGAATCCTGCATAGAGATGCCGCCATTTATCTGCTCTTGCAGCAGCACCCTGCTGCCCTCCTAAAGTTGAAACAACCGCACGGACATGACTACAATACAAACCAAATTCCAACCCAGTAAACAATACTCTCTCAATTTTCTAACAACAACGATCTGAAGAATGATTTAAGCCATACAGCATACCTACTTAGACTTTCCAATACAGCACATTCTGCTTCAGCTACAGAGTCTGAGCCTTCAGCAAGCATCCCTAAAATTGACTAACTTGTTAATGCACTGCAAGATGTATTTAAACTTTTATTCTTTATTAAAGTTAAAGTAGAATGTTGAGCAAAGAAAACATTGCAAAATTAAAATTGTAACAATGGAGCTGATAATTGAAATACATAAAGTAGAAAGTTCTTTTATTAAACAAGTTACTAAGAAGGTGTTAAGGAGGAGATGACAAGTTTGTAACAAGATTATTCACGGGAACATAAATGATGCTTCAATTGTTTAACAGGCTTCACTAGAACAGCACAAATTCGCAGTTTAATTTGGAAAAGAGTTTATGAATGAGAGAAACAACTGTAACAAGAAGATAACTGCAATGACTATGTCTCTTATATTTTGCCCAAAAGAAGTCAACCATATACTATAAAAGTGCTATAGACTTTGTAGCATAGCATTTTTGCATCTTATATTCTTATTGTTGTTATTATTGTTACGAACACATATGCTTGCATTTTCTTTACTATTGGATATTGATGAATACCTTCAGAACATTTTTATATGCATACACATGCAGGCTAGAAACCAAATGAGAATTGAGATTTTGATTGTATTCAAAAGTTAACCCCTACACTAAGGGACGTGAAGAGCTAGCTTTGACATCATTGTAATCAGTGTTAATTGGGTAGCAGTAATCTTACATGAATCAATTGTTTGCTTGGCAAATGTTTCTAGCAACTCTTTTGTACTAAGACGCGTGTACCTGAATAACCATGAGAATCAAATACAACAAGGTAAATGGATGTTCCTTTAAGAAAGCAAAGACAAATGCAAGATTTATAGATATAGGCAGAGCCTGTTATTAGCATAACGCCAGAACATCAGTCCGGCAAATAAATTACTTATCCAATCTTATAACTGTGACACTTATAGTATCAAATTCTCTTTGACTGACTACTAGAGTGGTTTCTTTATTTGCTAATGAAAACAAAATGATACTAAAACTCTATTGAACCTAAAGGAAAATAGATTAATACCCAAGACCTACGGCGAGTTCACGAGCCACTTTCTCATTAATTTCAGTTGAATCCCCAACAAGATAAATGGATGTTCCTTTAAGAAGCTGCATAGCCCCTGCTGTCAGAGATTCCCATGACTCCACAATGTCTGGCCATTTTAATTCCGGGTCTTGCTTCTTCAAATTAATTACCAGCTCATCATCATCTATATACCTGTTCAAAGCAAGAACCTTTACGTTTATATCAAACCCCTAAAGTCCTCCATTTTCAAACAAAATGTACTTAATTTCCGAGTTTACAATTACAAACCATATTGTTTCAGCAGGCTTAATTTTATCAAACAGTTGATTAGTTTCTATAAGCGTAAGAAGAGAACCAGAGCGCTTTACTCTAACAGTCAAAGAAGAGCCATCCGCATCAACAAACACATCTTTGGAGCTTAGATTATCTTGGCCACCCATTTGTAATCTTAACTCAACCTCGGAGGACCCATCTGCAAACTGCATTATTTTTCACAAAACAAGAAGTGGGTTTTAACGAACTCCATAACAAAGAGCGTTGATTTTGAAATTGAATGGAGAGATTACCTCGTACTGGCTAGTGTTGGGAGAGATTGAGGAGAGACTATTGGTGCAAGAGAGACGAGGGGTGAATGGTTTCTTCAGCCACAAGTGAGTAGGTTTAGAGCGAGCAGTGAGACGAGAAGAATGTGAAACGGGATTAAGAATAGAGATGGAGTTGTTTGAAAGAGAGCAATTGTGGGTTTTAGTAGTGGGGTTTAGGGAAATAAAGCTCTGGTAAGAAGCAGAAGCAGTAGCCATTCTTGAAGATAGGATAAACAGGCCACCCTTTCATTTAGTTCTATAAATAAACAAAAAAATCAAAAAAATAATTTTATAACAATTATATACATTAATTATTGGCTGAATTTGAAACTACCCTAACTTTTGATTATTACTTAAAAGCTTCTATAAATAAAGTGTATTTTAAAAGTAAAGAATAAAATTTATATTTAATTCAAATGAATTTTTTAAATTAAATTTAATAAATAAGAGAGATATTTAATATGTGAAAAAATTAATAATAAAATATATAAAAATATATAATTTATTAAATAAAATTAGGATAGGGTATGAAATTTAATTATATCAATACAGAGACTAAACTCTTTAATTAATTTATATTTAAAGAATAAAATTTATGGTGCTTTAAAGTTTTGAGAATATTCTTTGAAGATGCTCTTAGGTCACCTTTATGGAATAGTCAAAAACCACCCTCAAGCCCTATCTTCATCTTGTTATATATCTACAAAGACTAGGGCTTGCGCCGGATTCGTCTTCCGTCTTTAACTTCTTCTCGTCACAAACCCCACTGAGATTCAGTCGACGATGTTTCCGAAAACTTCACCTGATTCTTTGAAAACAGCTTTAAAACTTGGATTCTCATCTTCATTCCCCCGTTTACAAGACCCAAGTATTTCAGTTTCAAAAGACGAACTCACAAAATCAACCAAACACATTGCCACTGTTAAACGCAAAGCTCAACTTGATATATTCCTCCATGTAAACTGCAGATCAGGTAACTTCTCTCTCAATGAAACTCTCGACTTCATTGATTACAAGATTCATATGCAACCCAACCACATATGAATCCTTCAGTATTTTGTTCTCCGCACTGCTCAGAAGAAATATGTTTGTCAACTTCGCGTAGTTTTGGGGAGGATTTTGAGGAGGGGTTTTTGCCCACATGCAATTACTTTTAATGGTCTGATTCAGGGTGTTTGAATGGGTGTTTGTATGGAGGGTAAGATTAAGGAGGCGGCTGAATTGTTTAGCAAAATGGTTGTTTTTGGTTTTCGGCTTAATGTGATTACATTTGGGATATTTGATTACTAATTGTATTGAATAGGCAATATAGGTACTGCCCTTCAGTTATTTGAAGAAATGGTTGATGGGAATGCTGAATTTGGTGTCATTTATAAGCTTAATATTGTTGTTTACGGTAATAGTATTGCAGGTCGCACCAAATTCACTATTCTCATTTGCAAATGATTCATAGAGGTGTTGATCCGGACACAATTACTTATAATACAATTTTGAATGGTTATCTCTTGGAAGGTGGAACTGAAGTTGTGAGAAAGCTATTTTTTTCCATGGCATGTAACGGATATTTTGATATATGGTTTTTGCTTGGCAAATAAATTTAGTGATCCTAAGGAGTTGTTTGTTTTGATGATGAGTAAGGGATATATGCCTATCTTTGATCAGTTGGTATTACAAGAAGGATTTTTTGAAAGTAATTCTTGCTTCTAATATGAAACAGGATAGAGCTAAAACTCTCTCTCTTGTATAAGGGAAACCAACAAAAAAAAAAAAAAAAAGGATTTCAATCTTTAAGGGGTCGATCCTTGGGCTAGCAAGGGACAAGGGGGCAATCGGTTCCCCTTGATCTTCAGAATAAATTTGTGCCAAATGGTTATTCTCTCTTTGCATTTATATTTTTTCATACTCAAAATATAACGTGTTACATTCTTCGACCGTAAATCTAGTTGAAAAAGACTAGATCGATACATTACCGGTTAGATTCAGTCAGTAGTGTGTCATTATATTAGATTCTGATTACCTTTCAGTGATGGTTGTCAAAATTTGACAAATGTGGGCGAGTGAGGGTATTTTTGTCAATTTATAAAAAAAATTTGTTAAGGATGTTTAATTAAATTAACAAATTTATGGGGATTTAAAATAGTTGAATATTATAAGATATGATTTTGAGAATACTGAAACAAATGTGTATTTTTTTCAGAATAGGAATATAATATTTTTAAAATAGAAAACAAACATAGCCAAAGGCGTATTTTTGAATGTCTATATTTATGTCAAATTTTTATTCTCTTTTTGCATTTACATTTTTTCATACTCAAAATACAACGAGTTAAAACTTCTTTTTCCTTTGACAAGATGAAGACGTATTTTTAAGTTCTCATTAAATATAATATCTCTAAAGTAGATTATGCCCCCGTTTGTTTAATTTTTTCAATTCTATTCTATTCTATTCTACTACTTTATCATAAAAAATGAAAAATATATTTGTTTTAATATTATTCAAAATTCAATTCTATATAAAGAACAAAATTTATATTTAAAATTAATGAACTCTTTAAATTAAATTTAATAAATAAAAAAGATACCTAATAAAAGAGATAATTAATAATAAAATACATAAAAATTTATAATTTATTAGATAAAATTAAGATAGATAATAAAATTTGACTCTCTAAATATAAAATGTTAAATTCACTTATTAATCTGTATGAATAAATTCTTTATAATAAATGTCGTATAAACAGTCTTTAGAAATATTCTTGCGAAGAGTTGAAGTCATATTCAAAGTTTTGGAGATAATCTTAGCAGATGCTCGTAACTCGTAAGGCAGGTTTTTGAAATAGTCAAAAACCACCCCCAAGCCTTATCTTTATCTTGTTATATATCTACCAAGAGTGTGACTTGCGCCGTTTCGTCTTCCTTCTTTAACTTCTTCTCGTCACAGAGCCCACTGAAATTCAGTCGACGATGTTTCTGAAAACTTCACCTGGTTCTTCGAAAACAGCTTTAAAACTTGGATTCTCATCTTCATTCCCCCGTTTACAAGACCCAAGTATTTCAGTTTCAAAAGATGAACTCACAAAACCAACCAAACACATCCCCACTGTTAAACGCAAAGCTCAACTTGATATATCCCTCCATGTAAACTGCAGATCAGGTAACTTCTCTCTCAATGAAACTCTCGACTTCATCGATTACAAGATTCATATGCAACCCAACCACATATGAATCGTTCAGTATTTTGTTCTCCGCACTTGCTCAGAAGAAATACTTTTAACAACTTCACATAGTTTTCGGGAGGATTTTGAGGGATTTTTGCCCACATGCGATTACTTTTAATGGTCTGATTCGTGTTTGTATGGAGGGTAAGATTAAGGAGGCGACTGAGTTGTTTAGAAAAATGGTTGTTTTTAGTTTTCGGCTTAATGTGATTACATTTGGGATATTTGATTACTAGATTGTATTGAATAGGCAATATAGGTGCTGCCCTTCAGTTATTTGAAGAAATGTAATATTGTTGTTTACGGTAATAGTATTGCAGGTCACACCAAATTCACTATTCTCATTTGCAAATGATTGATAGAGGTGTTGATCCGGACACAATTACTTATAACACAATTTTGAATGGTTATCTCTTGGAAGGTGGAACTGAAGTTGTGAGAAAGCTATTTGTTTCCATGGCATGTAACGGATATTTTGATGGATGGTTTTTGCTTGGCAAATAAATTTAGTGATCCTAAGGAGCTGTTTGTTTTGATGATGAGTAAGGGATATATGCCTATCTTTGATCAATTGGTATTGCAAGAATCGAAAAAAGTTTAAATAGCTACGAGTCTTTATAAGGAAATGACTTTAAATGGAGTTAGGCCCGAAGTTGTTCCACCGGGTTTAGTAACATATAATATTGTGGACTCTGCAAAAATGGTTGTCTTTTGGAGGCTCTTGAACTGTTTCATTGAAAAATGAAAACTTTCGACCTGAAATCAAAATCTTTAGTTTTCTCATTGATGGATTCTACAAAACGTGGAGGCTTGAAATTGTCTAGGAATTATTTCACAAACTGAAAAATGAGGTTTTGTTCCGGATGTTGTGACATATAGCATTATGATGGATGGGCTTTGTAAAGGAGGGCACTTAGAAAAGGCAAGTAATCTGTTATCATATATGGAACAAAAGGGTTGTGTTCCAGAGGTTATATTTAATACGCCTGTGCATGCTTTCCTAAAGCATGATGGGACTTCAAAAGTGGTTGAACTTCTTCGCAAAGTGGCATAAAGAAATATGACTATGTATTCCAAAGTTTTGGAATTCAAGAGTGGGATATTGGTTTTGATATTCAAGCTTTGCTTGCTAGTGCTCTCGCTGATGAAATAGGAACTGTACTTAAAAGAGGACATGAATTTATGAGGCATCTCAGGTAATTTACCATTTATTAAACCTGACATTAGTTCCATTGAATTTTCCTTAGAGCTGATAATTTTATTTTATTTAATTTTTTTTTTTTTGGGTAAATTAAGGTGAAGGACAATTGTTCTGGGGACTTCAGGGGAATGCATCGACATATCACTAAGGGAGCCTGGATTTTCTGTGATCAAGATCATGGATGACAAGTTTCTGCTTGTACTGCTGAAGGTTTAAGTTTAACGGTAAACTAATTCAAAAATTTCTTGATAAAAAAAAAATTAAAGTTAATTCTTTAGTTACCTGTATCTCACCATATATATTGTCCTTTATTTTTATCTTTAGGTGTTCCCTGCTTTTCTCAATGATGCCACAAGAAATTGTTCTCGACAAAATGGAACCTGAGAGGTTATCTGATTATGTCAATCTCTTGCTATCATTACAGGTATACAGATATCATTAATTTTGTGAAAAAATCCTCCTATTTTTTTCTAAACTAATTACTTTCTTGTATATAAAATATCATTAAAAGCTCAAATTTTTGACTCACTACAGAGCAAAAATGGAGGAGTATCAGCCTGGGAGCCAGCCGGAGCCCAACAATTGTTTAAGTAAGTTGTTGACTTGACAATTTTGTATATATACATAGTCATCTGTTTAGAACCTGGAATTTTTCCTATATATATTTATAGTTGTTTTTATTAAAGTATTCAATTTGAATATTTGAATTCTAATGAGTGGCAGTGGCGTTTTGTGATGTATTTTGTTTCAGCTGCTGAATCCCTGAGAGTTTTTCAAGGACATATTGATTGAGCATGAGTATGTAGAGTGCATGTCATCCGCTATCAAGCGCAGTTCCAATGCAGTAAGGCTTATGATCAGGAGAAACTTCCTAATGGCTATGGGCAGAACATGATGGAAGGAAGTTTTGGCATTTGTGATATTTTTCATCCTTCACTATTGAAGTTGTGCTTGCATCTGCCACAATATTTCTTATGCTGTAGCAAACCATGCATAAGTGTATTAAATATGATTGCATCTGGAGCATAACCTTTTTGCTCAATAAATTGATTTTGAAGTGATATTCAGTAACTTCAGTCGAAAACAGAAATGATATTATAACTATGAAATGATATAATGCTTTGACAAACAAGGTATTACAGATGCAACTTCAACTGTTACTATGATTAAGTTAATTGTGAGGGATAGAGCTATGGATCTTAGGAAGATGAAGAGAACTATTAGTAAGAGGAGTCTTGCTCAGGATTGGGGGTTACCAATGTGCATTTTTGTTGGTTGGCTTTGTTTTGGTGATGGTTGTCTTGTGTATGTTTTGGAGAGGGGTCTTGTATAGGTTTTTGTTTTCATCCTAACCCAGTGTCTCTCCTGTGGTAGGATGTGCATTGGAAGATAGTGTTTTGTATAGTTCTTTTGCTTTGGTTAAACTTTTGTTTTTGATCTTATGGGAGAGGTTTGTCTATTGGTAGGCTGGCTGCCTTTGTAGGTCTCTTTGTACATTCTTTTTCTTTTTCTATTTAAAGCTTAGTTACTAAATAAACAAGATATTACTGATTTTTAAATCTTGTTTTATTTTTTCAGTTTTTTCTCTGAATCACATCACGAATTTACTTTTAAATGTGGTTTGATTCACAAGAATGAGAATGGGAATGGAAATATGAATGTCTAGTCCTATTTTCAGTTAAAAATTGACATGAGATAAAGGTATTCTTTAGATTGTACTTTCATTATGTTAGATTTAAAAAACATATTATAGATATAAACAATTAATTATATATTTTTAAAATTTATTGCTAATTTAATAAACTTGATTATTACTATTGTCGATGGTTGAGGATATTTATTTTTTATTTCTATTAGTCTCTTAATAACTTTCTCTCTCAATTCACAAAAAGCAATATTACAGTTACCGAAAAAATATATCAAATTTATGCACCGAACAGATGTGTCACCATTTTTTTTTTTTTAAAAACAAAATTCATAATTAATCAACGGTCATAATTGTGTCATGTTTATCAGTGCATGAATTCGGTATCCCTTTTTCAGTGTCTGTATCATTTTTCATTCACAAATTGCCCATCTCTTTGTAATTCGGAATATATTATGGTGTAAATAAAAGTAAATATTATTTAATGAATTTTATTATAAAGAGGCTTTGAATGAGTTTTAGGGTGTACCTAAATGAGCCCACATCGAAGAGATAACATTGAAGCCCGTTTGGTAATGCTGATGGGCTCACTTACGATGGCCCGGCTTTTATCTTACTAGACCCCATCTTTGAATTTACCTTATCAAAAATCTGAATTCTGAAGGACATATAAATATTCAAATGAACCCAACTTATAATTTTTATTTTCATCCACATCTTATTAACATTTCACTTGAGTATAAATTTTATGTTATTGTAAGTTGCAATTAGTATCTCTAAAGTAGATTATGCCCTGGTTTGTTTAATTTTCCAATTATATCTATTCTACTATCTTATCATAGAAAATGAAAAACGTATTTGTTTTAATATTGTTTAAAATTTATTCTATTATATTCAACTCAAAACATTTAATAATTACATTTCTCAAAAATTTATAATTAATAGAAACCCCCACCCACCCAAGCAACAGTCGCCCGACAACAAACACTGTTGGCCGCTAATCCAGAATGACGCACAACCGTTGGATTTGTCAGTTTTCAGCCAGATCCATGACAAAAACTGTCCATTAACGGCTAGATCTAGCCGTTATGATGCCATACAATGGCCAGATTTCTGGCTGATGTTTGACCGTTCGATGACCAAGTATGGTGTCGTCAACATTGACGGTTATATCTTTGTCCATATCGGTCGTTTCTGGCCAAATCGACACACGATCAGCCAAATCCAACCGATCGTGAGCCATTCGGATACTTTCGACCATCGTTCGTCCATAGTGGCCGGTTGTTGGCATCCATTTGGATGGTGGGCGTATTTTTTTAATTTATGAAATTTTTATTATGGGGGGTGTTTAGCTAAATTAACAAATATAGGGGATTAAAAATCTAAACATTTTTATAAAATGTTTTCAAAAAATGTGCACATTCTAGAATCATATCCTATTTGATTAAATCTTATCTTATCTTATTCAAAATATATTTTAAAAAAAGTGTACAAAAGGAGCCTATTTTTGCTGCTTTTCTCAAAATTTTAAAATTCTATAAATTTAGAATTCAATAATTATAACTGAAATTATTTGACAAACAAAGAAAGTATAAGAATTAAGAAAGGAAAATGGAAAGAAGTGGGTTTTGACGAACTCCATAACAAAGAGCGTTGATTTTGAAATTGAATGGAGAATTACTCGTACTGGCGGGTGTTGGAGAGTGAGGAGAGACTTTGGTGCAAGAGAGACGAGGGTGAATGGTTTCTTCGGCCACAAGTGAGTAGTTTAGAGCGAGCAGTGAGACGAAAGAATGTGAAACGGGATTGATAGAGATGGAGTTGTTTGAAAGAGAGCAATTGTGGGTTTTAGTAGGGGTTTAGGAAATTAAGCTCTGGTAAGAACAGAAGCAGTAGCCATTCTTGAAGATAGGATAAAACGGCCACCTTCATTTAGCAATAATGCAACGGACACCGGGACTCTACACTGAATTACGTGTCCCGTGACACACACCAACCACATTTCATGTTCATAAATATTTTGCTAGTGACAGTGCGTTCATCAACTATGGATGACCGTTCACTTATGATGGACTCCCGTCCATATTATATGGACGGATTCCACATTTAAAGGACGTTCGTTCATCAATAAATGGAAAAAAATAATATAACAAAAATATAGACGACCGTTCATAGGTTATGGACGGCCATTCCTAAATAAAGGACAGGCATTCACATATAATGGACGCTCGTCCAATCTTTAAATAATAATTTTTTTATAAACAAAATTAATGTTGGGCGTTCATATGTTAATGGATGCCGGTCCATTATTTGGTTTTAAAATTTAAAAAAAAATAGGGACACCCTTTATCATTTGTGGACGGGCGTCCGCAAATAAGGGACGCCCGTCATAATGTAAATTAAAAAAAAAATTAACAAAATTTGGACGGGCGTCCAATATATTCACTTCTCTTTCTCAACTTGAATTGCTTTATACTAAACTCTTCTCTTTTATAGTAACGCTCCTATGACCAGAATAAAGTAGAGGTAACCAAGATGGTGCAGATAGGTTGCAGGAAACAATTACTAAAGAGAATGCAAATGTGCTTCAGGGAATCAAACCTGAAGTGAATGCATATCGGTTGCTGGGAATAAGAGCTGAAGTGAATGCAAATGGATTGCAGGATGTAAAATCTGTAGTAGCATCTGGGAAAAGGAAACGGAAATCTAAGAAAATGAAACTAGGTGAGGGTGGTGATGCCCAACATAAAGGTGTTCGCAATTTGAGAGTAGTGCTTCTAGTGAACAAACAAAGGGGTGGTAACCAATGAGGAGGTAAATGGGTCACAAGGAACAAAACTGAAGGGAATGCAAATGGTTTTCTGGGAACTAAACCTAAAGTGAATGCAAATGGTTTGCAAGGAGTACAGATTGAAGTCAAAAGGTTGTAGGGAACAGAAGCTGAAGTGAATGCAATGGGTTACAGGGTGTAATACTAAGTGAAATCTGGAAAAGTACATGAAGACATAAGAAAAAGAAACAAGTGAAGGTGGTGATTTCCTCACAAGTGTGTTGATAAATTGGAGAGTAGTTTGTCTGGGAAACCAATGAGAAGCTAGTAGACAGCAAGTGCAGACGTGTTGCCGGGAAACAAAACTGAAGTGAATGCAATGGGTTACAGGGATCAATAACGAGGTGAATGCAAACCGTTGCCAGAATACAAACTGAAGTAAAATCTAGGAAAAGGAGATCTAAGAATTGAACTGAGTGAAGGTAGTGATGTGTCGCTCAAGAGTGCTGAGAAATCATAGAGCATCTTTTCTAGTGACAGAATCAAGGGTATGATAACTAGGAAACTATAGTGGATTATAATTTTTTTTTTCAATTTAGCGTCTGGACGGGCGTCCATTATTTGTGGTTGCCTGTCCATTATTCAGGACGACTGTCCATATATATGAACGGGCGTCCTTGATTTTGTTTATAATTTTTTAAAACCATATAATGGACTGGCGTCCATTAACATATAGACACTCGTCCATTAATTTTGTTTATATAAATTTTATTATTTAAGATTGGACGGACATCCATTATATGTGGACGACCATCTTTTATTTAGGGACAGCCGTCTATAACCTATGAATGGTCTTCTATTATTTTTGTTTACATTTTTTTTTCTATTTACTGATAACGTGCGCCCTTTAAATATGGACTCTCGTCTATAGTAAATAGACTCTCATCCATATAA